CAACCTGTTTAAATTCGCTGATGACACCAAAATTTGGGGGGAGGTGAGCACGCTAGCAGGGAGAGAGAGATTGCAATTGGATCTGGACAGGTTATAGGGGTGGGCAGATGAGAATAAGATGGGATTCAATACTGACAAGTGCAGGGTACTGCACCTAGGGAGAAAGAACCAGCAGCATACCTACAGGCTGGGGAACTCCCTTCTTGTCAGCACAGAGGTAGAAAAGGATCTTGGAGTCATTATAGTCATCTATATGACACTGGTCAGGCCACAGTTGGAATACTGCGTCCAGTTCTGCGCGCCACACTTCAGGAGGGATGTGGACAACATGGAGAGGATCCACAGGAGGGCCACCCGCACGATCAGGGGGCAGCAGGACAGGCCCTATAAGGAAAGGCTACGGGACCTGAACCTGTTCAGCCTCCACAGAAGGCTAAACTTACCAGGGGGGACCAGCGGGAAACGAGAAAGTCCCTGTTCCCCCGGGCACTACCAGGAGTAACAAGGAATAACAGCCAGAAGTTGACTGAGCGTAGGTTCAGGCTAGACATCAGGAGGCACTACTTCACAGTCAGGGAAGTTGGTTCCAGATCCTAGCTGCCAAGGGAAGTGGTGCTTGCTCCTACCCTGGGAGCCTTCAAAAGGAGGCTAGATAAGACAACTTGCCGGGGTCATTTGACCCCATCATCCTTTCCTGCCCATGGCAGGGGGTCAGACTTGATGATCTGCTCAGGTCCCTTCCGACCCTACCAGCTATGGAACCATGGAACTCTGAATTCCAGAATGCCAAAGGTTAGGGATGTCAATACATATTTTGAAAAGCAGACTTGTTGTCACACAAACCAGAATTCGCAATACCTGTCACAGACAGCTTTGAACTTCTCACAAGCTTTTAAATCACCACACCTGATCTCTGTGCCCTTTCAACTATCTTAGGACCTGATTCTTCTCCCAGTTGCAGTTTAAAAAAATGCTGCTTTCGACTTTAATAAGAAGCAGGACAGAAACCTTAGGCAGTGTAACTTCAAGACAAGTCCCAGATGATCTGCTGCAAGCTTTGTTGGACTAATAATGCCTGAAGTGCTTCAAATCCTAGAATATGATGAGACTGGGATTTGGAGCGCTCCAAGACAAACATTCTGGATAGGCAGTGCCATACCAGGCACAGATGCAAGTTCCCTTTGGAACCCTACATAGTTTTCAGCAAAAGCAAATTTTAAAAGCAGATGATTCAAGCTTCTCAATATTAAACATATATAATGTTTCAAAAGAATTTACTGCCAATATTTATTCAGTCAGAAACCAAGCTGACCATTAAGACTGGAATATGCTACTCAGAACATAACTCTTCATAGGACTAACAAAAGTATTTGCAGTTA